TTTTAACACTACCATACATGCGATATTCGTATTTTGTAGATGTAAATTGCCTTTGAAGTCTTGTTTCCATATTTCGTAACTAGTCCCCTGATATTGCCGGTTGTGCCTATCACTGCCATTTTTGAAAGTCGTGATGATGACAAGTATAATACATTCACAGGTGTGCACTGATTGCTGGAGAGTGGAGAGCTGTTATGAACATGTGAGTACATTTTCCACATAAACAAGTTCAAATTACTGGACAGTTGTGTCAGACTTTGTTGAACTCGTGGATGCTGTTCTTCTCAATTCAGAACTATTATTATTAACCAACAAAGTTATTAATTGTCTTTTAAGGGAAAATGTACTTCTTCCTTGCGCTGCGAATGATATTCAGCTGTTGTTATGTTTGTTTTGCGAATTCATGGTTAATTGGCTGACCAGTGGCGGATCCAGGATTTTCAAAGGGGGGTTCCACTTTGTTTTCGCATTTTCCTAAAACGAACTTTTTTACTGTGACTCTCGAACTGTAGCAAGTGTAAAGACACCCACATTTCATTTATCATTTTTTTTAATGCTCGAGCGGAATTCTTTGGAACCCATGAAATGTGGATCCGATACTGCTGACGTGATCACAATATAAATGTTGATAATTTCATAAGTGATCATCATTTCAGCAATTTCGTTCGGTCGTTCTTCTTTACAAACCTAATATAGTGTGGTGCTTTGTGATCCTTCCCGAGTAAAATAGGAAACTCCAAACACTTGTCAAGTAATTGTAAATTTTCTTTTAGGACTGTGTGAATAATTACCCCCTCTTGATAATTATTGCACAGTCCCTAACATTCACCATAGCATCTCCTTTAATTAATTCTCTCATGGCAATATTTACTGCAGTTTCCAGATTTTGCCATTGTTGAAGACGTGGAGCGTGCTTCCAGCACTACTTCAGAGTAAGTACCTTTAAAATTGAGAATCAATTAATGCTTGCCGGATATATTTGTGTTTGTCATATCATTTCTGCGAAATACCTATGAATTCTTCATTGCGTATAAATTTGATATTTTCAAGTGAAAATAGCACATTCGAGGTTCAAAATTTGCTTTCATATGTCAGTACTGAATTGGACAGAACGCTATTACTGCGCTCTAGCAGATGCGCTCTCTTATGGGCTGTTTTAATGCTTACTCAAAGCCTCCCTCCCCCACAGTCAATGTTGGTTAACAATGTTGTTGGCGGAAATGTTTCGGTATGGAAGGAGGGTTTGTTTCGAGCCCAACATTGAAAATGGGGGACCACGGGGGGAAATTGTCTGTAAGTTTTAGTAGACATACACTTTGTCCAATGAATTTTGTCCATGATTGTAGCTATCTTGAGTTAATTGCAATGAAAAATGCTAATTTTCTCAAAAAACGTTTTCAAGAGGTATTGCCAGGCAAGTAGAAAAAAAAACACACTCCAAGTTATGCTTGAAAATTACTAACTGAACAWGATTGCACGTTCGAGTGCTTTAATTACGAAAGGTTTTTAAAACAATTAAAAACAATCAAAACAATTGCTGTAAAAACTTTCAAATAATGGTTTGCAAATATTCCTTAAAAGGCTTTTCTGATGGAATTTTGTTTGTAAAACAAACTTTCCAAAACAATTGTGAGACTTCAGCAATTGCAACTAGTGATGTGTGACATGATGACGTAGCCCAGTTCTCAGTACAAAGTCTCTCAGCCAATAAGGAATCAAATACGTTTACGATACAGCTATAAAAGTACGATATAAAACGAGCGCCGTGTTTAGTCTTCCGATACAGTAATTTGTTCTAGAATAATTAACAATTAGACCTCGAGGTCGAGTGGACTACTAGCTAATAGCCCATGAGGCCGAGTCCGCGAGGCCGAATGGGCTATTAGCTCGTAGTACACGAGGCCGAGAGGTCTAATTGTTTTAGTATAAACATACTAATCGGTCAAATAATGAAAACAAATTGAAATATCCTTAAAATCATTTATTAATGAGATGCCGCCATTTTGATTTTCCCGCGAGTGGTCTATCACAAATTAGACCATTAGTTGAGTAGCCAATCACAGCGCAGTATGAGTGATAGACCATTAGTATGTTTATACTAATATGCGATATTTATCCAATCAAGAAGTGTACTTACGATTGCATGCACGTCCAATCAAACCTGATCATACGCACGTAATTTGTGATCATGACAGTTTCCCAGTCATACAAAATCTACTGTATGGTGCATTCCAAGAACTATTAAACGTTCGCGTTAGCTGCGTTACAAAATTGAAATTCTAAACTGAGACCCCATGTTTACATGAGATAGGGTGCCCCTACGTGGTAGGTCTAACTCTTTTGTTTTCTTTTCCCTGGAGGATCTAAAACAAAGGATTTTGGCCCTACCACTAGGGGCACCCTATCTCATATAAACAGCGTCTTAATTGCTTTCCTCGTGTGCACGGAGCGTTCATGGTCACTTGAAACCATGAAAACTCYTTTTGAACGGTRAGAGAATGACCAACAATGCATTTCGGTCTTCATGGGATGTATTATTTTCACCTTCAAATTTAAATCTGAAATTGATGTATTCAGGAAAGATATGAAACCTCGTACCAGGTTTTGATAGGTATAAGTTATCAGATGATCTTGATTAACATGTTTGATAATTCGATCTGATCCATTTTTCATGTCATAGAGCGGAACGTAGAACGGAAAGCAAGATTTTAAATCTCCTAGAGGTACAGTTTCAATAAATTAAATAACCACTTACTAGCTCTGATCTTCTATATATCTACCTCGCAAATACATACATACATTCATACATAATCGTATGAGGAAGTAGCTGATCCCATTAAAGAGTGCTCAATACACATATAGTGTAGAGCTAGTTATATATAATATCAAAGAGGCAAGATTTTGCTGGTACTCCGAGTTTCCGGAGTAACAGCAAAATCTTGCCTCTTTGATATTATATACATTCATACATACATACATACAGCCTTTTGCAAAAATTATGAGAATTGTTGAAATATATAAATATCATAATATCAAGTGCATGATCCCGCGCGATGCCCTTAGTCCCTTGTCTTTGTTGTTTAGTTTTTTTCGGCGACAGACTTATCCGTAGTTCTGAACATTTTCTCGATGTCAACAATGAATTATTCTAGCAAACCCGTGTGTTCCGGACAATATATGGATATGGATGTTATGATATTTAGATATTTAAACAATTCTCATAATTTTTGCAAAAGGCTGTACATACATACATACATACATACATACATACATACATACATACATACATACATACATACATACATACATACATACATACATACATACATACATTTTAATTGCCGTGCGAGACTGGATGGAATACCTACACGCAGATGGCTATATAGAAATAATTTGCAGCCCTGCACGTCGAACGAAAAAATAAGCTGTTAGCGTGTGAGATGCAACCTGATCTAACTTTCACTTCCAACTCTCTTTGGACAGAAACACTACTTTAGGATTAAGAAAAAGAAATGGGGAAAAATTTCCTCAAAAGATGAGGGATGTATCCTTTTAATGTTTTAGAAATAATTTATATCTGTAGCCATGTGTAATATTCATACAATACCGTTTACATTGGTTTACATAGAGTATACAGTTTCTCGTTATGGATGAAATTCATGCTACAGTGATCAAACTACACATATTGAGAAAATAGTGAGTGAACATGCCCAAAGCKATTAAAGTGCCCAAGGGACATGAAATTGTGGGGAATGCTTTCCCCACAATCTGTACATTCCTTTGTAAATTTTAA